TTTTTGTTTGTTTTGTATTTAAAAATATAATTTCCCTTGGAAAAAAATTGCCCTTGGAATTTAGCACGCACTACAAGGAGTCAAAGGTTAACCAGGCCCCCGGTGCTGAGTAAGAGGTTGTATCTGTTATCATCCACGGAGAAGCGTGCTGCTCAGCACCGGTAAGGCCGGGCCTGGGGCGCTGTGTCCAGTTCTGGGCTCCCCAGTACAGGGGCATACTGGTAAGGGTCTAACAAAGGGCCATGAAGATGATGAAGGGAGTGGAGCATCTGTCCTGTGAGGAAAGGCAGAGAGAGCTGGGACTGTTTAGCCCAGAGATGCAAAGTGGAAGGGAGGGTGCAAAGAAGATGGAGCCAGGCTCTTCTTCATGGTGCCCAGTTGGGCACAAACTGCAACACAGGAGTTTCCCCTCTGGACATCATAGAATCGCTTTGGTTGGAAAAGACCTTTAAGATCATCAAGTCCAACCTTTAACCAAACCCTGCCATCCCACCACTAAACCATGTCCCTCAGCACCTCATCTATCCTTCTTTTAAATACCTCCAGGGATGAGGACTCGACCACCTCCCTGGGCAGCCCATTCCAGAGCCTGACAGCCCTTTCTGGGAAGAAGTTTTTCTTAATGTCTAGCCTAAACCTGCCCTGAAACACTTTTTCACTCTAGGTGACCAACCACTGGCACAGGTTGCCCGGGGAGGTTGTAGAGTCTCCAGCCTTGGAGATACTCAAGCCATCTGGACATGGTCCTGGGCAACCATCAGGTTGGACCAGATAACCTCCAAAAGTCCCAACCTCAAACATTCCATGATTCTGTGAAATAGCTGGCTTCCAGCTTCTGCTCTTAGAGCCCTTTCTACAACTCCCTATGTAAGCCTTGGAATTGCCATGCCACTGCCATAAAGATTACCAAGTTTAGAAAACACTCCAAACCTAGCAGGCCTATGGCCATTTAAGATAAAAAATTGTTTCCTTGAAAGCAGAAATCAAAGCTGAGTTTTTCATTTTATATATTGATGTCTTCATTTTTAGGAAATTTTCTGTATTAAAGGAAAAACACAGCAACTAAAACCACCCAAACCAATTTCAGGCTACCTTTCATCCATAAAGCGCCATATAATTAGTCCAAGAAGAAGCTGTAAAATCAGTTTTTCCTTACGCTTCTCATTACAAACTTCCACCCCACCAGGCCCAGGTCCGCAGCCATGAAAGTTAAGAGAAAAATAAGAACAAAACAAACTCCACACTTTGTCCTCCCCTCTCAAAGGTTTCACCTATGGTTTTTATTCTAGTACTTTCCAACAGGAGTTCATTAATCACAGCCAGAGCTGATTAATCCAATGCATCATATTCAACTATAGCAACATTTTCTGAATACAAGATGAATCTTTAACACTTGCCACCCTTAAAAACAGGCAACAGGAAGAGGGAAAAAAAAACCCAAAATAAATCAGTATTTTCTGTGCCTAGAAAGTTTCCATACACCATTTCTGTTCAGACTGAACACAGCAGTTTACAACTTCAGTATCCACAGCCTTGGTGAGAGGCATTTGAAATACAACCAGGAACTAACAGTATGTAAGAAATTGAGTGTGAAATTGAAGTCACTGTATTCTTTCATGTAGCGAAGGCTGCAACATCCAGAAAAGCAGCAAGCTAAATGGCTATGAAAATGGTGTATCACACAAAACTATTTGCTGGATTTTGTGGGAGTTTTTCTGTTGTTGTTTGGTGGTGGTGTGGTGGTTTTGGTTTTTTTTTATTAAACAGCAATTCAGAAAACAGTATGTGAACCTTTAAAGGCTAAAATAAATAAATCCTCTTTAACTGCCTCAAAGTAGTTCCCAGTTTTAATGCAATTTCAAAGGAGTTTTCAGGTACTGGGAATCTTCAGATAAAGCAAATAAAATTTTTAAAATGTTAACTTTCTGTGCCTGAACTAGTTCTCCACTGCCTTACCATTCATATTCTATGGATTATTCACTGTAAAGATCAAACCAGTGCTATCTACTAGCTTGTAGACAGACAGCTTCACAGAAACATTCCAGCAGTTACTTGGATCTCATGAAAAAAGCTCATCTAAAGACAGACCTATATTATTTCTTCTGTCTACTGAACCTGAAAAAGAAAAATTGTTCATTAACATATTCCCTAATAACTAGAAAGACATGTTTAAATCACTGCTAAAATAAACTGAATAGTCTGCTACTACCATTCCTAACTGGATTTAATAGCAAAGATTTCACAAGTCCAAAAACAGGAGCAAGGGAGCTGGGAAGAAGATACAAAAGATATTAAACATTGTACTAAGTAGTGGCAATTGTGAAATTTTATTTTATTTTTTGAAGTCACAGAAACAAAGTATTGGATGTAAATAACCAACCATAGATGTAGAATAATTGAACAAGATAAAAAAATAGCTTAAATTAACATATGTTATACAAGAAAACAATTGGCTGAATTAGAACCATGATTTTCAAGGTCAGGCACACATTTCCTTAGTCCCTCAAAAACCCCAGACCTTAAAAGAATATTTAGCTTGGAATGGTGTTAATGCTGGACAGTGGTAGCCTCTAAATGCACTTAATACTCTCCTAATTTCTGGCATGAAATACCCAAAATAAGAAATTTGGAAAATGCACATTCGAGGTATTCCACCGATTCCATACTGCTATTTAATAAACAGGTCAATTTATTATCATCCAACCTAACTTTTACCACCTACTGAACCGTAACTTTGAGCTCAAGTCACTAACTGAGAATAAGTGTCACTAATTGAGCGTAAGTAATTAACGGTTTTAGTGACAAATTAATGGTTTTTCTGGAATATGAACATTTTACTTTATAATGAAGTACACCGTACTAGAAGGTTCATTCAAATCTAGGTCATATCAATTACATTCCTATGGCTTCTGAGCAAAAAAGCAAGCAGTTTTACTGTATGTACACAATATCGAACTGCAAGATTTAAATTAATTAATTATTAATAACCTACATTCACTGTGGATTTCTAAGATTTACATCCAAAAAGCATATTTTATTTACATGCTGTTGACATTTTAAAGAAAATGAAATAAAATCTTATCTGTTTAGGAATTATGGTCTACCCCAAATTAAAAAAAAAAAAAAAGATACATTTAACACCACAAAAATGTTTAAAACATTTACAATAAAAAACAGCTTTTTGTGCCAATTATACTTAATCGCTAAGAATGTAAAATTGCATTGATAACTGCACTAACTACAATTAGACTGGAAACATTTAAAACCTGAGAGTCAAATCTAAACCTGTTTTTTATTAAAGAAAATCCTACAAGTTAATATGCCCTAATGTTAATTTAAGCACAGATTGGTCAGTGGTCAATAAAAAAAAAAAAAAAAAAAAAACAACCAACAAAAAAACCACCAAAAACCAAAACCCAAACCCAAACCAGACAGTGCATTATTTCTGCAGGTCCAAAAGAATAAATCACTATAAAATTGTTGCAGTATTTTGATAAATGCCAGGCCTGCCAGACACATTAAGGCTTATTTCAAGGTGTCCTTTCCCACACACCGTACCTAATCAAATGTCTTTGGCCAATTCCTGGGAGGGTTTCTACATTTATGTAAGCATGCTTAAGTATGCATCTGGGATCTCTGAGGTTTCCCACCTCAAACATACAAATACAGGTATTTTAATAGCTAGATCAGAGTGAAAAAAACCAAAACAAATAAAACTGAACAAAAACATGAAGAGGCATAGAAAGTTAGAAATACTGGCCAGAAAACATTCAAAGTCTAATGAGAAGTTTTATATCAACCCCAAAAGCGTTTTAAAATCAGCACAGCTCTGGAGCAGCATTCCCTGCATTACTAAACACCATGTACCTGACTTAAAAAAAAAAAAAAAGTTGCGTTAACAGGTACACTTGACTGCACTGCAGGATGTAAAAAGTAAACCACACCTATAAAGCCTGGGGAAGAGAAGCATGGCACACAAAGTTACTCCATTTTGTAGTAGCCATTTTATTTCTGCACTTGGAAGCCTTATGCTCCTTTTTGAGTGAAATACCTTTCCCCTCCCTCCTTGTATCCATCAGAAACTGTGCTTGACCAAGAGCACCTCCCAGGAGGGGTTTGAGAAGGCCAGGATTTTCCCCATTCTGGAGCTATTTTCCACAGCCGTAATAGTTTGCCCTTCTCATGCAGATGGTTGGCAATGTGTAGTGGTGGTCCTTCCAGGCTGAAAGCAGGCAAACTGCACTTGATCCGCCTTTACAAGCAGCCTTGCTTTGTAGATTAGCTTTGCATTTAACTAAATTGACACTCCGTGGGGCCCAGAAACTCTTGTCTCAAATGACCACCAATACCATTCACCAAAACAAACACATGAGTATCTGTGGCTCTGAAACAAAGTTACTCCTGCATTTCATAGGGACTGGTCTTTGCCATTTAAGATGGGAGTATGTCATTAGAGCTTTAAACCTAACTGCACCCTACGGCAATATATTCAAGTCTACTTATGCCACATCAACCTAATTTATAATTTGAAAACTAGATCTGCATTACTACTACCTTCACCACTTAGACAATGTAAAACCAACTCCCAGCATAAGCTTTTTTCCTGGGTTTAGGATCTTTCTTTTTTTAAGGCACTCTCATGAACAAGCACACAGGTCCATTTTTTTATACAGGAATAAAATAACAATGTGGCAAACATGTTATGTTTGTAAGTAATAAGAAATATGTAATACCTGCTAATTAGGTGACACATTTTATGACCCAATGTAGTAAAACCCACTGTGAGTTTTTTTTTTCCCCCCCCAAAACCCCCCAAAAAACAAAGAAGGTAAACGGCCACAAGTCTTGTCATTCATTGACCTAAAGCAGCAGATACATTGAAGAACATTCTGCTATTAATACATAGCAAATCAAACTTTTCCTAGTATTTGAGTTTAAGACGGCATGTTTTATCACTTGGATTCTGGAATACAAGTAGACTATT